TGTCCCACTAATAATCGGAGCCCCAGATATAGCATTCCCACGAATAAATAATATAAGTTTTTGACTCCTACCACCATCATTTCTCCTTCTCCTAGCATCATCAATAGTAGAAGCAGGAGCAGGAACAGGATGAACAGTCTACCCACCTCTAGCCGGAAATCTAGCCCATGCAGGAGCATCAGTAGACCTAACAATTTTCTCCCTTCATTTAGCTGGAGTGTCATCTATTTTAGGTGCAATTAATTTTATTACCACTATTATCAACATGAAACCCCCAGCCATAACACAGTATCAAACTCCACTATTTGTCTGATCCGTACTTATTACAGCCGTACTGCTCCTATTATCACTACCAGTGCTAGCCGCAGGCATTACTATACTACTAACAGACCGCAACCTAAACACAACTTTCTTTGATCCCGCTGGAGGAGGGGACCCAATTCTCTACCAGCATCTGTTCTGATTCTTTGGGCACCCAGAAGTTTATATTCTTATCCTCCCAGGATTTGGAATTATTTCACATGTAGTTACTTACTACTCCGGAAAAAAAGAACCTTTCGGCTATATAGGAATAGTATGAGCAATAATGTCTATTGGCTTTCTAGGCTTTATTGTATGAGCCCACCACATATTCACAGTAGGATTAGATGTAGACACACGAGCTTACTTTACATCAGCCACTATAATTATCGCAATTCCTACCGGTGTCAAAGTATTTAGCTGACTTGCAACCCTACACGGAGGTAATATTAAATGATCTCCAGCTATACTATGAGCCTTAGGCTTTATTTTCTTATTTACAGTTGGTGGTCTAACCGGAATTGTTTTATCCAACTCATCCCTTGACATCGTGCTTCACGATACATACTATGTAGTAGCCCATTTCCACTATGTTCTATCAATGGGAGCAGTGTTTGCTATCATAGCAGGATTTGTTCACTGATTCCCATTATTTTCAGGCTTCACCCTAGATGACACATGAGCAAAAGCCCACTTCGCCATCATATTCGTAGGAGTAAACATAACATTCTTCCCTCAACATTTCCTGGGCCTTTCAGGAATACCACGACGCTACTCAG